AAATTAAATTACATTGCAATACAGATAAAGTATTTAATTAAAATTATCCATTCAATATTATCGTTTTACATGAAGACTATGTTTTTTTTTAATTTAATAATAATAATTTATTTAGCAAAAACAATAACATTTTACTGTATAAATAAAAAATATACAAGTTTTATGTTTGCAACTCCCCTTTAAGCATAAACCTTGTTTTGGGAGGTGACCTCCCAGTCCACCCCTGACTGTGATAGTACATAATTATATATTATACTATATATCTACACATGCACCCAACATTGTATTAACAAAATTATCAATAATTACTTGTTTTAAATCCATTACTTCATACCTCAACTTATCACACATTAATTTGAAATGTGCTCGTTCCCATTCATGTTTTTCCTGAGCTCGCAATTCTTCGGCATTGTGTTTCTCCTGAGCCCTTTTCTCTTCATTCTCAAAATATTGTGTTTGATTTTTTATTAAATTCAGCTTTTCTAACGAATACTTTTTCACGCTGTCCCCTAAAGTGGTCTTAATATTTTTTTTTAAAGCAATAGGGGTTAACTCCGCACTTTTATTATTTTTCAAAACCTCTGGATTCCACTTGGCCCACATATGTTGTTGTTGCACTGTATCAGGTGTGACAACAGCCATAGGATTATCTACAAAATCAATTTCAGGTTGATCTATATGCTCTACCTGTTAAAAATTAAAAAAAAATTAAGGCCTTTTAAGAAAAATGGTAATTTATTAAATAACTCACAGTATCAGCTGAGACAACTACCACAGGATTGCCTACAAAATCAGTTTCAGGTTGATCTATATGCTCTACCTGTTAACAATTTAAAAAAATTAAGGCCTATTAAGAAAAATGGCAATTTTAATAAATAACTCACTGCATCATCATATGTATATATGAATTCATCATCCAAATTATGTACTCGGCCAATCTCTATGTCCTCTGTATTTACTAACGGTTTTCCTAAAATAAACAACAATAATTCAATACTAAAAGACTAAATACTAGATAATTCTAATGTATTTGGTAATGTGATTTGAAAATAAATGTATTATCATGGCCTGGTGGGCCGCTAGGTACTTATATTGACAAAAATAGGATCATGCCTATCCGCCCCTGTGTATTATAATAATAGTGGTTTCATAATTATTTAATACAAACATTTCAGTAACAAATAGAAGAAAATTATATTAAATTGGTAAAGGTTACCTGTTTTGTCTCCATCGAAAATGTTTTGTAGCCCTACTGCTGATGATCCCATGATTTCAATTAAGACTTTATGTGTTGCTGAGGGTGCTACAGTGGAATGTGCAGTTCCACCTCCTGTTTTGAAAACCTCTTTTTTCCTATCCGCTTCTGTCTTCTTGGCTTTCCTTTTTAAGTTCTCATACTTATCCTTTAAATTTTGCACCTGGAAATAGAAATCAATATTGTTTTACTCCAAACTACACTTAAATATTCATATTTAAAATTAATCATCTGTAAACAGTGCACATTTTTATATTTAAATTCCTACACCTTTAAACCAAAGTAAAACTTATTTAATTGCTACTTACTTCTCTTAAACTGCCTGTTGTGGCAGTAAATTGTTCTTGGATTTTCATCCATATAGCGATTTTCGACTGCCAAACATCGTGGTCTGATTTTTTACATTCCAACACGCTAGAATATTTTGCGGCCAACTCGACCAACGTATTCTCTTCCGTAGCAGAGAAATTAGTGCAACGAGGTCTCTTCATATTATTTTTCGACATGTTTTTCAAAATTAATAAACGAAACAGACACGAATGAAGAAAATATAACAATATAGGTCTATCACAGAGTATAATATAATAGTCTATGCAATATATCGAATTATCTGACTGATAAATGATAACAACAATAATAAATGATAACTCAAGAACGACGCATGCGTAATACAGTAAAATTTGGTCATGCCCGGTTGTTTTGGGAATCACTTGTATTATAACTGACGGTTAGTTATACTATCGTTAATCGGAGGTTGTAAGAACGGATTGTTGTAACCTCCGGTAACCGGTATTTAACCGAGGACATTACGGTTAGGTAACCGACACTTTACGGACACTTTAACCGGACATTGTAAGAACGGGCCTAAGTCTCTTCCTATTGGTTCAAGAACATTATTATCTCGGTTGGGCCTTGTTGATATAACTAATATTGGGGTGGTAAATATATTCATTGAATATCCTATGGATTATCACATGTGTTAAAAGATGTTACCCCTGTTCAGAATCTATTAATATTAGAACTTTTTTTCAATATTGAGTCTCCCAGTAGACTAAAAAGGTAAATTCTTTTGGCCCATATTAAGTTTTTTATAAGAGTTTAAATTAACAAATCCTTTTATTGTCGGTGCTTATTTTGGAAAAAAACATATAGGGTGGTAGAGTATTGCAACCTTTTGTACATTTTTCAAGTACATTTGTTCATGTTTATGGCTGAGGAAATGCATCTTATGATGTACACTCAATTATTCACTTCAAACATGATTGTAAAAAATATGGGGTTGTGGACAGTTTTTCTTCATTTCCTTTTGAAAATTGAACATTTGCAAAAATTTGCAACATGTAAAACAAATTGTACAATCAGGACCTGCTCCATTAGTACAATTATATAACCGTATTCAAGAAGAACATAACTGTAATGTATTACCATATGCACCATCTATACAATGTCCATTTTAAGATAATCAACATTTCAATGGTCCGTTGCTAAATAACTTATGTCCAATTTTACAATTCGGGTTTCCAAAACTAATTGCAGAAGTACTAAAAACATGACTGCATCATAATTTTTTCCATCTCTATTGGTATACTAAAAAATATTTACAAAATAAATGGAGGAATCTTTTTATTTTGCAACATGTTTGAATCAGTATTATCTTCTTATAATGAGCCATGTTTTTTTAAATCAGTTGGGGTTTTCAAGTATAGTCAATTGTCCAGTAAATTTTTGTTTTTTTCTATTCAAGATATTTAATTTAAGGCCTTTTTTTCCCCTATTAGAAATATAAATGATTTGTCACGGGCACATTTTTATGTTTGTGCATACTTCATACATTTTGTTAAGTAAGATTTTTTAATAATCTTATCTTAAATAAATAAAATTAGTGACCAACTTACTTATGCATATATTTTAGAATGAAAAACATTAAGGATTATATAGTTATGCAAATCCCAGACAAGTATAGCAGAAGTCCTATTCCAAAAACATGGTTTATTAACGAGTCTAAATTTACTTTTGGTGTTATAAACTTAGATGAGAAGGTTTTAATATTACATTACAATAAAATACAAGACACACGTTTTAAAGAAGAATTATATTAACTTAAAAAAGCGAACGCAACGACACACACAACAAGTAACGAGTCATCCCCGCCGGACGAACATTAGTAGTTGTGACGAGAAAATTCGATATTATCAATAAACTGTCGCTGCGAACCCGACGACCCTCGCTAAGCTGAGTTCCACCTTTACGCCGCTGAATATTTTTTAAATAGATTTTAATTTTAAGTACACGTGGTCGCCACGACCATCGTCGGTTAAGCGACAAACACTCCTGCTCGAGCGAGTTACATCTCCCCGGCGTGGATGATTTTCCGAGTATATCAAAATTTATATCAACTTCGGTCGCCAAGTAAGGTTACCCGACGACTACTCACGCTTGGCCGAGGTCCGTTTCCTTGGGCGATTTCAAAAATAAATGTAATTTCTATCACCCGCGGTCGCCACACACTTTTACCCGACGACTCACGCTTAGCCGTGGCTGGTGCTGAGTTTGCGACTAGACAACTTTACTTTGGCTATGGGTCATTCAAAATTTTGAAATAACCAAATGAAAAGTGAAAATACAATCTTGTTTTTTTTTTTTTTGAACCTAACCGTTCTGCGTTCAACGTTATTCAGTAATGCTGGGGGACTGTCCATGACGGCAGCTTAATTTTCCAACGTCAATTTATTATTCCAAAAAGCAAGACTGCGCGGCGGAAGAAAAAAGAAAACTCGTCGATCCTCACCGCATGTACACCTAAGGTGGCGCCACCTAGCGACGGCCAGCTACTCAGATTTTGGGCCATGCATACATTGTCATGTTTTTTTGTAGTATTTTCAATCATATGTTCGAGGTTCGAGCGTGTTTAGTATTATTTTCTAAATAATTAATAAAAAAATTGTGTTGTATGTACTTAATAATAGAATCTAATATATAAGACATGGAAAAATGTTTGTTCCTTAACTCCTCCGAAACGGCTAGACCGATTTTCATGAAATTGTGTGTGTATCAAACTCGGAAAGTGATGTTAACTACATACCTCTAGGTGTAAAAGTTGGCTCACACAATATATTTTTAATATTTAACTTGTACATTTTATAATAATAATAATTATGCTCACCAAGCATACAACAACACTATGGTTACCGAATAATAGTAAACATATAAATGTTAAACGATAAAATACAAGCAATTGCCATAAGAAAAACAGAGCATTACAATAATATTAAGAGTTTTGGTAAGTTTTGATGGAACATTATTATTTTTAAAAATGTTCAACTGTTAAATTGTCTCAAATTATATAAAATTGTTTCGGTTATCAAATCTATGACTAGGATCCTTAGAATCATCAAAATGTTTTTTTTTCGTTTTCTTTGTTTATTTTCAAATTCCTCAATTTTATGACAATCTACAAATTTGTCTTTTGCTGCATCTCATAGGTTTGAAATAATACTCGTAACGAGTTTATGTAAGCACCTAATGAATTATACAATTCTACTATACTCTGTCTCAAACTAGAACACAGCGGTTTCGCGCATCGTAACTGACGGCCGCGGAAGCTCGTAGGCGATTTTTCCCCACTATCCCACGAAATAGACAACCGATGTCGAACGAACCGACCGACAAAGTCCGACATAATTAAATAATTTTATCAGAAAAACAGAGCCAGTAGCATACACCGTGTTTAAAATAAATGTTGTCATTGGAAATATAATAAAGCAAGTGTCAGTAAATAATAAAAATATAAATGTATAGTTTAAAAATTAGTTACAAACTTAATTATGTTTATTTACTTACACTAAAGTACTATTAAAAAAACATTCGTAGTACAATGGTTTTTATGTATGCATTATAATATTATATCAGGAAAAATATGTATTTACATTATCAATCAGAATACAGTCATTAAAAATTATTCGTAATTAAGAAAAATAAATCTGAATAACATCGTTGTCACATAAAAATAAATAAAATATATAGTTACAATTAATCCGAATTAGAAAAATATAAATCGTCATCATCGCTGTGGCTGATCGTCATTACTACCGGTTGTGTCTCGGCCATTAACTCATCCACAATCATGTCAATGTTCCAAAATTTTTCCTCTTCATTTCTGGTGTAGTTTATAAAGTCTTTCCATATTACTTCAGTAAATTTGTTTGTGACTTCAATCAAGGGGGTTTGGACATCTTTGAGTTTGAACGTCTTGTTATTTGACTTTACGTGGTTTTTTATTACCGACCAAGCCATTTCTATAGGATTCAATTCGCAGTGGTATGGAGGTAATCGTGGCACTGTTTTGTTGTGTTGTAAAACCAGTTCATCTATTTCTCATTTGTTGTACAATGGTTTTAATAATTTCACAACATCCAATAATTCCGGTATGATCATAGTGTTATCGATTACCTCCCCTTTGCTTTCAAACCATCCGATAATTTCTACTTTCCTCCAGTTGGTTGTTGGACATTTCTCTACTTTACCGAATGGTAAAGAGCGTTGTCCATTATGATTACCGCGTTGTCCTTAAATTTCGGTAAAACACCTAGTAGTTTCACGAAAACTTTTCCCATGCAGCTCATCGTGGTAATCACTAGTGTTTTTTTTTTGATTCAAATGCCAATAGTCCACCAAGAACAAAGTCGTCTTCGGAACCTATATGAACAACTACCAAACGTTTTCCTTTACCACTCGGATTTACTGGTCCAGTTGAAAGCCCCTGGAAAAATGCATGTTGACTCGACTGGACAGTTTTATCCACCCACACTTTGACAGTAACGTCTCCAGCGTTGACCCACGTTTCGTACAGATAATATAATGGACGACCTTCCTCAAGATATCTTTTAATGTCTCGTAAATATCTCCTCCACCAAAGAATGAGGTCATTGGAGTCTAATAGCGCACTGTTTCGTCCTCTTTTGGTATAAACGAAATCCATGGACTTCAAAAGTCGATGTAATGTCGCTCGGGTAAAAGATGGCAGACTTTCATCATCGTTGTCGAGCGTGGGTAACTCACGATTTAACTATAAATTATGGATTTTTTGTCTACATGTTTGTCAAAATCATCCGTCTTCAAAGTTACATTTTTATGGATTCTCACTTTATTTGGTGAACTCACGGTTTTTGATTACACGTATTGGATATGGTTTTCTCTCCAATTCCCAATTCCTTGGATATTATTGTCCGCGTTTCCCGAATTGAGATCTTTGGGTTAGCTTACTTTTGTAATGATTAATAATCATTTCCTTTTGCTTTGAACAAACCTACTAAGAAGAACAAATTTGTTTAAGTATAATACATTCCTAGTTAGAAAATAAAAATGAGTAAAATCCTTGTAAAAAAAATGTTCGTACTGATAAATTATAAAATAATTTACATTGATGTAATGCTTTAATGATCTATTGTGAAAATACGAGTCATGTGTATTTCTTATAATAATGATATAACCTTTTATACTTTTTATATTCATTCTTCTTGTCTGCAGTAGTTATATTAATCTTTTATAAATACTGAATCGTAAATATTTTTGTAGATATTTATTTTAGTTTCGATATCATTTATAATATTAATTTTATCAGAATATTTTTTTTTATCATAAATCATAATATTTCGTTACAATTTTCTTACCCTTCCTTTCTTATTGCTCTTTGTTGGAGATAAAAAATCTGGTACTTCGTCGCTCATCGTAAATTAAATATGCATACGTATAAATGTAAACAACAAAATAAATCACAAACAACAATAATATAATGAAAATCACAAGTCAAAATATTGTAACAGCGAACGTACACGCATGAGTCGTATTCAAAAACAGACTACAGGCAAATATTTCGAACGTTCTGTATGACGATTATAAGATGATTACATATGATTTGACGGTCACGTAGGCCTCTTGGCGCACAAATATTTGGTGAGGCAAGCAGGTGCGTAGAGCCAAACAAAAACTAGTCAGCAGCCCTTGTATTCTAGTTTGACGGAGTATACAGTACTCAAATCTATTTGAACAGACTGAAATAGTTGACTAGTTTTATTAAATGTATGAAGTACACCTTTCCAATATTCAGTCATAACCCTTTGATGTTTCCAGTATATTAAGTTGTCGAAGTAGTCCCTTAGCTTCTGACCTTGTAAGTACCCTCTGGAGCTGATCATGTTTTAAAACTAATAATGCTTTTTCCGCCAACCCAATTGTTTTCAAACTATGGGCAAGCATCATTTCGAGCAGACCAACGAGTATCTCATTAACTCTTAAGAGTGGAATTCCTGTAATTTTTCAATTAACTCCAGCGATGAGTTGAAGATGAGAAATATACATATAGGTTTTGGATAAATTTAAAGAAATTGTTTGCTTCTTCACAACAACTTGCAGCGGCCATTCTAATGCGATTCAATAAGTGAGCCGAAGAGGAAACAAAATCAGCTAAGGGAAAAACATCTTTAATTCTTACTTGAACACCGGAATATATGGCAGACATATTTTTGGCGTTATTTTAAAATTGACCCCTGAGAAAATGAACATTAATGTCATATTTCTTCAATATGGGAAATATCGCCTCAGTAAGCGACTCTGCCTTATGTCCAGCATTCCAGCATCATAAATGAACCCAATAGAACGTTCCACTGGTTCTCTATTTGGTAATACATATCTTTTAAATTGTAGTAAAAGAAAGTAAGTCAGTGTAAGTCACATCTGGACTTGGATCAATACAAATTGAGAAGTATGTTGCTGTTTTGACTTCTTTAATTATTGTTTTTATGACTTTTTCTAACATTATACTTATGAATTGTTCATAAGTATAAAAAGATAAATATGATGTATTTCCTTTACCTGGATTCCCATATTTACTTATACGCTGAGACTAAGAAGGATCATATTCTGCAACTAATTCCATTGCCATAATAAAATTACCACTATTAGCAACGGGAGATCCATACTTTTCTTCTGCTCCTCTAAATGGTAATCCATAACTAAATAGTGACTTCACTACAGAACATACTCGAGTTAGCACATTGATCCAATGATTTTTTTCTATTTTGAATTTTGAACTGACGAGTAATTGTAATGTCTATTCAGCCTAAATCAGTAGCCCGTTGTTTCATTTTGTACCTATACAATTTATAAATACAAAGGGTTCCGCTTAATGTGACCACTTTGGTGCAGGTCATTTTGATTATATTAACAGGTTGATTCTATAAATATTAATAGGTTGATTTTGTAAAACATTTACAACATTTTTTCATAATTCAATCTTTGAATACAAATACATATTTAATGTAACATACATAGTAAATTACACAAGAACACGACGCACAACGATAATTGAAAAACATAATAACGTACGATATACTGTCATAGGTTAGGTTAGGTTGTGGCCAGGACGGGACAGTTGTTGGAAGATGCCTTCAATCCAGTTCTTGCGAACATCGAAGAGTGGATGACGAGTATAATGGCTTCTTCCAGGACTTATAAAGCTGTACATCATATATCATGTCTTGCCTGTAATTTTTAAAGAAACTGTAGTTCAACAATTTTACACGGTATGGCATAGGAACTTTTCATGCAGTTATTGAATGAACTACGAACTGACTATTCGGATACACATCGACGTTTTTTTACTGGCGTTCTATAGTGCTGTGTGGGACTATCACACTCCATTTGAGTGTGCCCTTTTTCCAGATACTTTTGGATGATCGTTACCTTTTTGGACATACTCAAATGTAGTAGTGTATTTGAGAGCACTGAATTTCGGTTCTGATAACAGCACCCGTCTGAAAATATAATTACCGTTTTTAACACGTTGACTGCCACGAGCCCGCCGGCGACCTAACATGGATACGTTGAAGTGGAGCCATTTAGGTTGCCGTGGAGCCATTTAGGCTGCCGGAATTATTCTTCAGGGGCCGCTTGGATCGCCGGCGGTTCAAACTTGTATTTAATATACTATATTTTTCGATGGCGTGGAAATAATAACTTAATAATAACACTATGGCGTACACGAGAAAAAAACGAATAATTAAAAAAAAAAAAACTAATTGATTCCTTTATTTTAATCGTATTTAAAAAATATTCTTAATTATACATGAATTATTACATTTAATCATATAATATGATCAGAAAAACATGATAGACAAATGAATGGCTTTGATGGACATGTACTGCAAAACGTAGTGACTTTTTTTGTTTTATTTAATGCTTCCCTAAAACATAAATATATATATTTTTATTAGTTTTTAGTTATTTTATAAAGATGATAAAATTAAAAGATGCAACAAATAATCTCATTACCTAAATCCTTTTTCTTGTGATATTTTCTTATAACACTCTGAGCAACGTTTTCTTAGTTTTCTATTTCTTGGACACTTCTCTTCTGTTTCCTATATTTTATGTTTAGGTGCTGCTGATCTTCTTTGATTTCCTGTTGATCTTGGTGTGTTAGGCACTGTTATTTATTGATCTAATTTTCGGCTGGTAGGTCTTAGGTTGAGTATTAATGACTTTTAATAATTTATTAAAGACTATTAATTGTTTGACATTCATTTTTGAATCATAATAATTCATGTTATATATGATTTGAGCATTAATAACACTAGTGTTAAGTAATATCTCAGTCATAACTTTATGATACCAGCGGATGCTTTTTCTAACTGGAGTAGAATAAGATGCAAGTTGGTCTGATAAATCAATACCAGCTTTTCCTGCATTGTAAAATAAAATAATATCAGGCTTCAAAATGCTTTCTTTTTTTCTGGATTGTTTTCCCGTGTCTATAATATCTAATTTATGACGTGTAGATAATAAAAATATATATCTTTTATCTTTAAATTTTGACACTACAATACCGTTATCGTCTTCTTTCCCAAAAATGTCTCCTTTTTTAATTTTTTTTTGTGATGACTTCTTTAGGTAAATAACGGCGATTTTTCCTAAGTGTCCCTACTAAATGTGTTTTTTTCTTTAAAAGTTGTTTAGCGAGTGGAACAGATGTATAAAAGTTATCTGTGATAACTGTTCTACCTTTTTCTAAATATTTTTCGCATAAAGACAGTACGATTTTTTCACCTAACGATTGACCAGAAATAGACTGTTTTCCATCGTAAATAATTATTTTGTATGTAAAACCGTTAACATCACATATTTTGAATAGTTTAACTCCGTACTTGTGTCGTTTGCTTGGAATGTATTGTCGGAATTTTAATCTTCCTCTGAAAGGAATCATAGACTCATCTACTGCAATGATTTCTCCCGGTGTAAGTAAATGTTCGAAATTGAAATTAATTTCATCAAGAATATTCCTTATTTTGTACAAACGATCGGACTTATCACTTGTTTCGTTATCGGCAAAATGCCAAAAACCTAATATTAGTTCAAATTTGTTTCTGCTCATAATTTTTGGAGCTACACTATTTTCACATCTTTCCGCTTTACTCCAGTAATCAGCAATGTTGGGATATTTTACTACACAAATCCAAAGTAATAATCCAATTTATTTCGTCATATCCTCTAATATTATGTGTTCCCATGAATGAAATCTACTACTACGTGACAGCCTAATACTTTTTAGATATTGTTCAGCATTTCTATTGGTTTCCTAGACCATACAGTTTAGTATATCGTCAGTAAGAAATAATTTAAAATAGTCATATGGCTCTTTATTAGTTAACATTTCTATAGGTAACGGGCAATCGCTTTCAAAAATAAAATATTTTTGGTAATTACCTGTAACAGGATACCAGTTTGATGATATATTATCATTATCAACATTAAGATATACTGGAAGGGATTCATCGCCACTGGATTCATCACCACATTCCGATAGTTGAAAAAGAAGATCGCCATCGCTGTCATCAACACTTTCATCCGAAAATGAAAAATCTGAATCACTAAGTGCATCTTCGATCTGCTTTTGATCCATTATAATACAATAATAGAGCACTCGAAACGCAATATTGAGAACGGACAACGACAAGCACGCGCCGTGATTGATAAACGATTAATGACAAATATAAACGAGAAATTATCTATACATTTATTATGGTAGCCGGCGACCAATCCGGTGTCATAGTAATACGACATAATTGTCACGCCAGATGACCGCCGGCGACCTAACTATTTTTATTTTAAATTCGTAATATTGGGGTTTTTTCAATAACAACTGAGAAATCAAAGTTATAATTAGACTTTCCTATCTTTATATACACACATGAACATTACAGTAATAACATGTAATTTATACCATGGCTCCGCTATTACATATCCGTGTTAGGACGCCGGCGGGCTTGTGGCAGTCAAGTTGTTCAACAACTCATTGATATAATCACATAGGCACGATGCAAATGTGGTAGCGCTAAGTGGGGTCTGTGTTTCATCAAACCAATACGCCATTCCATCGTGTGTTGTTAAGTCATAAACTGTGTTATTGTGGGCTGTTAATTTCAATTTATAGTATGCTGCACTAGCTTTAATATAGGGCACAGTTTGAACGGCCATTAAATCGCAACATATAGTGTGACATTGTTCATTTTGAGCAGCAACTTTGTCGTTATGTTTTTCATTGCGTGTAGCTTCTTTCTTAGCCAAATGCTTTGAATAGACCTCTTCAGAAACCTGCTTATTCTCGCAACTGAAACAAATGTCACACTTGTCCTTTTTAGGGATGAATATTTCAATATTCTTCTCTCTCTTTATTTTATCAAATGAAAATCTTGACACGGGTGCTTCAACATTTTCAAAGCATTTAGTTTTGTACATTTCATACAATTTACTCCAAGATTTAGATCTGTTTGCAAGAAAAGCTTCTTTGAATTTTGTCTGCAATAATGGGATGGTGGTGTTGGTAAATTATCGAAAAAGCTGGTCAACGTTAGAAGCTGTTGGTCCGATCTTTTTTTCTTCATTGGAGGTTTAGTTGTTGACGTGAGATCTTCATCAACAAATAAATCGGCCTCATCACTATCTTCTTCATTTTCTTGCGGAAAACGGGTTGAGGTTTTTTTCCCTGGCATATTATTTTCATGGAAGTTTGCGAGCCAATAGTGAACTTCAGATTTTTTCAAACCCAATGTCTGAAGGTACATTAGTTGGCAAACTGGTACTCTTTTGTCATGAACTTTCAGATAATAGAAATAATTTCTTTCTGGATTATTGTGTCCTGTAGTTTTTTGTTTTGTATCTTTAATTTCAACTGTCGAACAAACGTACATTATCTTGGAATCCCAAGACATATTCTTCCAAAAGTCGTTGAATAGAAATTTGCGATCTTATTTGCTTACAGAATCACAAAGCCTAGTAATTTATTTTTTACAGACTGGTGATTGACAAGGAGGCCTCATAATCCGAGCGGCTCGTTGAACATCTTGAAGTATTTTATTTGTACTCTTTGCATCCGCCCTCCTATGACCTATGTAGGATTCCCCTCGCATTCTATTCATTTGTGCTTTACTACAAGTCCATGTTTCTGGTTTTGCAACTCTCTTCCTTTCTTTGAGGACATTATTTGATTCTACATTAATTGTATTATTCTCAATGTGCGTTTCATTAGCTAGTGGTAGTTTGGCAGTCTTGATTTATTGATAAATTAATATTACTTAGATCATAAAATTCTTTAAGAATTCCATCTTCCAAATAAATAATGTCCAGGTTTTCCAAATTTAGGTCATCAGAAGTAACCAATTTGTTAGATGTTCAAGGTTCAACAGAATTATTGGATACTATTTTATTATCATTATCTATGATATTCATTTTATTTTTGTTGTCATTTTTTGATTTCACGTGTAAATTGTTTTTTACTACCGAGTTCCTGCCTCCTACTTCATTCAAACAACCAAAATATATTTCCTCTACAGTGAACTGATTATCTGTACCATATGAGTCACTATTACTCACCATGTTTATAATAAAATATTACAATTGAGGGAAACATAAAACTAATAATATAATATAATATTTATTTACTTTCGTTATAGTAACTACCAATTTTTCTACACTGCTGTATAAACAATAAAAATATTTAAAATTGAAATATTTTAAAAATATTATATTATTATATTTATCAATACTAATTCGAAACGAGTTTAAAAATAATACTAATGTATGTATATTATTGTCATAGGCGTGCGCAGACTTAAACTTCTGGTCGAGCCTAGGCAATTATAGTACCATAATATTTAGACAACGCCTCTATTTTTTTAACACATCAACATATATGTTGATGTATTAACCTATTAATGTCTATAGTACTTTAGTTATTGTATAATATTGTATAATGTTTGTATAATGTTTTTGTTAGATTAATAAAATGTATGTAGTGGTAGCCGGTAGGTACAAGCAAATATTTTTGATTTTATTATATTTTCACGACAAACAAAATTTCCATGATCTCAACAAACATATTATTATAATATAAGCATTATAATAAAATATATACGCACATTTTACCATGCCCCTACAGCTCGCCTCGTGCGTACGCCTATGATTATCGTGTAGTCATGTTTAGAATGTACAGTCTAATCTATATAACAACAGTGGCTATCTCAATTAACTTAACTGAATAACACTGGCTACCTAAATAACGTTTTTGGCAAGTTATTTTTACGTATGTTAAACTAAAATATCATACTTATTTATTGTAATTTTAATATTATTTTTCTCACATTTTAATTCTAATATCATATAAATTAAATTATTCCAATAATTGTCACTTACAGTCGGCTTGTTGTTAGGTGTAGGGCCGGGGGGTGAGCAATGGTTAGGTGGGGTGGTGTAAATATGCGTTACGCACGTAGGCGATATGTGGCGGCGGCGACGGCGGTTAGGGAGCAGGGAGTAGGGAGCAGGGAGCAGGTGTATGGCCAGGGGGTGAGCAATGGTTAGGTGGGGTGGGGTAAATATACGTCACACACGTGATGAGTCGGGCGGCCGAGGATCAAGGATCAGCAGAGGATCAGCAAGGACCAGGAGGGCCAGCGGGGCCGGCGGGCCAGTGGTCAGAACTGTCCAAATCATACTACTTCCTTCAAAGGACAAAAGTGACATTTTGTACGAGTAGTGTCAGAAGTGACAGCATCATTGTTCTTTTCAAAGTTTGATTTAAATTCAACAAGTTTCAAAATATTCTGTTGAAGGGCAAACGATAATCCTGGAATGTTAGACGCCTTATCATATGATTTTTGGTGAGTTTTTTTCCTAATGTTTTGAGAAACCGTCTACGGGAAATTAATTGATTTGTATTTTCACAAAAAATAATTTATCAATTTATTCCTGCAATATTCATAAGGGTGTAAAAAATTGTCAAGGACCACCTGCAGCTTACAGAATACTCTCTCCTTTTAGTTCATTTAAGACATCAACCCCTTTTGTTCAGTTGTAATGTTTTTTATAAAATCATTTTTATAATATAAAACACTATTTATCGGTTATTTATTTATATTGATGTATTAAAATTTATTATTGGAAAAAAAAATGCTTAAATTACTTCTTATAATCTCTGCTGCTCTGGATGTTTTGTTATTTCTCACACTTACTGCTAAATCACTGGATAAATTATTCATTTAGTTTGATATATCTGAGTCCATATATTTTGCTGTTACTCCTTTTTTTTCCAAATCTATAATCACATTGTGCAGCATACATATTGCTTTTACAACGTGATCAGCATTGTCTACCTTTGTCTCTATAGACTTCTGCAAAATTCTAAATTTTGCTGCTGCTGCTATACCGAAAGGTTCCATTGTCATTCGTGCTCTGGATAGTCTATAATTAAAGTAACTTTTATTTTCATCATTTAGTAACCTTCTTGGGTATGGTCGCGTCATGTATGTTCACAGAGGAAATGCTTCATCAGCAATGAAAGTATATGGACCAATTAAGTTCGAATTTGGTAATTTTTTAGGATAAGGTGGCTTCAAAGTTCTATTTTCAAGACGTTTTAAAATATTTGAATTTGATAATATACCTCCATCGCTATCTTTTCCATAAGATCCGACGTCAATCATAATAAATTTATAATTTGCGTCTACAACAGCCATCAAAACAATAGAGAAAAACTGTTTGTAATTGAAGAACATACTACCGGATTTTTTTATACATTTTATCCGAATACGTTTGCCGTCTATACTCCCAACACAATTCGGAAAATTCCAATTTTCATAAAATTCTTGTGCAATTTTTTCGAAATCAGTTATCGCAGGTGTGGGCATATGTTTTTCTTTCAATATTTTCCAAATTGCTTTACAAATTTCAATAACAATTGAAGACACTGCTGTTTTGGAAATTCTGAAAGTTAAGGCAATTTGCCTAAAAGCTAACCCAGTTGCAAGGTATCTGCGTGGAAAAAAAATTTGAAACAAATATTGTATTTAAAATTTTAAAAATAAGTTAATATAATTTTAATGTTTAACTAGTGGTGTGTCAAAGTATTTATATTTAATTTTTATATTTCTATATATTTCTATTATATATATATATATTAGATATTATATTCCAGACTATCTTAAGCGACTAAATTTTCAAAATATTTTGATAATTTTTTAATCATTTATTGAGTAACTTATGTAAAACTTTTAATTACATTTTCAAACCTTGGGTATAAACACTTAAAGTTTTTGGACTTTCAACTAGAAAATAACTTCAATTTTATCGATTTTATCATATTTCGTAAAAATTTGAACTTTCTACCCTTATAAAAGAATTCTGACGTATGATTATTTAATGGCGATAAGTACCTACAACTTATGAGAATTTTTGTTTTAAATTTTCAAAATTTTTTGGCCAGCCAAATTTTATTATGGACAATAAAAAAAAACCAAGAAAAATCGAATAATTCAATTCTATATGTAACCTTAAGTAGCCAAAAAACCTCAAAATCTTTCAAAAGTTATATCATGTATAGGTGATGATAATATATATATATGATAAGATTAAATATTGTAGAAAATTGGTATATTTGGTATATATTAATTTTAATTTTAATAATTATTGGTTTACACATTTTACACAATATTTAAATTTAATTTCCACAGAAGACGATGTTAAAAAAAAGTGGAGAAATCTTCGTGATCAATTTTTAAAAGCATTTTAAAAAATCCCTTCCAGTCATTCTGGAAGTAGTCAAGAATATGCTGCGCTATATAAAGGCAGATGGACCTATTTTCGTGCGATGTTATTTTTGAAGGACACAGCCACACCAAGGATAAGGGACGGAAATTTATCCGATGTAGACATAGATGAGATTGAAGAAGAAGACGAACTCGAGGACATTGACCAGTCATTAGAAGTAAATATTTCTACAAATGATTATAAAATTTCATCACTTCCATCAACTTCACTTACGACAACTAAGAAAGAAAAAACAAGAAACGGGCAATACTTTTGAACAACAACTGATTGATCTTGAAACTAGAAAACTAGCTGCATTAACTGAATCACCCGCTCCAGATGACGAAGATATGCACTTTTTTAAATCCATTCTTCTGTATTTTAAAAAATGAGCCCCATCCAAAAATTACGAGTGAGAAACGAGATCCAAAATATTTTGATAGGGTAAAACATGTAGTTATTGGCACCTTAAGTAAAATAGTAAAATGCGGATTTCATATTATTTTATCTTATGTTTAGCATGATTTAAATTATCAAATTATCTTTAATTTGTTATAAAATGTTCTTATCTATCCATTTTTGTTATCAGAAATAGCTTAAGAATAATATTTTCTTTTATATTAATTTAATTCTTAAAGGACCATGAAACAAAAAAAATGATTTTTTTTTTATACCTTTATATAACATTAGAAATGAAAACTAAATTGTTTGTCTTTTCAAAAAAATTATCCGATCACTCCTTCTGTGTTAAATAGCGATCGTACGTATACGCGTGACGTCACTGGTGCGCACGGATTTGTGCCGCCGTATTATTTTACGCAGTAGATATTTATATGATGCATTAAAATATACAAAATATTAGACTGAATTAATTTCTGTAACGATATAATATCATTATCATTTATTATTATTGACATTAAAAGTTATTTATATCATATTAGATAATTCCATTTTAATAACATGAATAACAAACTAGGATCTATAGGATATTATTAATTGTCATTTGTCATTCTTCAGCCGTCATTCGCAGTTGCTTTTAGTTGCTATTAAATTATAATTAGAGGCTAGAGGTAAGTTATTTAAATTAATTTTTAGTAAACATAACTTAACTATAATAAATAAAATAGTTTTGAATGCTCATTTATGATTTAAAACAGGGCCATAAATTGCAATGGTGTTCACAGCCAAAAACAGGTAAGAGACCAGAAGGAAACATTTTGATTACTGCGGCTTTAGTACTATCTGGTATTCTATTTTCTCAATTTAAAGTATTTTGCTCCGCATTGAAACTTTCAATTTTTACTCGTCCAGTTTATGACAAAATTATAAATAAATACTTATTTCCTGTAATATGCCGCCAATGGGAAGAACACAGAAAAAAAAACATCGACGCTATAAAGTTATCATCAATTTGGCTAGCTGGGGATGGCCAATATGACTCACCGGGTTTTTGTGCTAAGTACTGTACTTATTCAGTTATGGATATCAACACGGGAAAAATCATAGATTTTAAATTAGTTCAAAAGGGCCAATTTAAAGGGGATTTAGAAAGGCAAGCCTGTGAACAATTACTAATGGATTTAACTAATAGTAGTAATTGTAAAATCGAGTTGTTTTTAACAGATAGACATAAAGGTATACGTGCATTTATCCGTACACAGCATCCAAATATTAAACATGAATTCGATATTTGGCATTTAAGTAAGAGTTTAATGAAAAGATTAAAACCACTCGAAAAGAAATATCCTGATGCTTTTTTATGGAAATCGTCAATTAACAATCATCTTTGGTGGTCAGCACAGACATGTGAAGGAGATGAAGAAAAACTCATTGATAAATTTACATCTATATTAAAACACATATCAAATGAGCATGAGTGGGAAGATAATGGTGTAAAAAAGAGATGCGAGCATGAAAAATTAAATGAAAATGAAATACGAAATAAACTGTGGATAGACCCAGAAAGCGAA